CACGTATGAAGGTTTCCGGGACCTGCACACCCGTTTATCTGGAGGATTAGGCTCTACCTGTTTCGGGGACTCACTTCATCGAAATGCATCATCTGAATCGTCTTCGACTGCACTAAGGGCTTTTGTGGATAGACCATTTGATGCTGCAAAGTGTCAAAGCGGATTTGCTGATTCAAAGCGACGGTGCCGATGGCCTGTTTACCCATAGCGCACTGATACGTATTACGGGGAGACTGGAACAGAGAGCACATGGTTAATTCAAGTGATTGAGCGCTTCAGAAAACGAACATGCTCACTTCATGTCAATATGAAGCTCATATAAAAGTACAGAAAAAATAAGCGATAATCTGTTGATGTGTACCAAGAATTTTGCCTTCCATATTTTCTATGAAGACGCTCCATGAAACGGAATAAATTATCAAGTGGCTACTTTCGAGAACCAGTGAACTAGAGAAGGATAGCTATTTGTTCTGGGGGAGTGTTTCGTTTTTAACGCGATTTCCAGGAATCAAACAATAGGCTTTTCGCCATCGTTTGAAACAGCCTTGAGAATTTGAAAGAAAAATTTGGTTCAACACTTGAATGCTATTCGGATGGTAGATCCGACCTTCTAGAAGGTAGAGATGGAGATAAGCAACCATACATACTGAGAAATAGTAAGGGGTTGACAAATTGCTGTTTACAAGTACTGACTTATGGCCCTGCGACTGGTTCACGAGGAGAATAAGCCGGTTTTGTAATGTCATTTATCGTTGCTGCATAGGCCCGGTGACAAGCTGCAAGTTTCTTATATATTCACACCCAGTCCGTATTCCACCGAGGAGTGCCGAAGGCTAAGTCGATCTACGCCTTCACATATAGCGCTCAATCAGGTTTTTACCCAACACCCCGCCGGAACGATTGTTGCAGCCTGGGCATGGAGACAGTGCCGGTGTGATATTAGAAAGAGTAATACGATGCTTCAGTGGTTCAATACCTCTAACAGTTTGACTGAGTTTCACAGTCATACAGTAAGAGTGGGCCGACTGTTCGGAGCTTGGTTTTGAGGCTGATCTCATATTGGTACTAGTGAGTAGTGTAGAATTGTAGGAACAGTATTCTCACTGTATCGATGAGCAGCTTGACTTCAGTCTTAGTTGTTAGGTGGGAAATGTGGGTTACAAGTAAGTGAAATCCTAGATTATTTCTATAGTTTTGTGTCAACAGCGAAATCGATGTTCTTAACATTTTGGTTGGGTTGCGACTGACCTTCGAGGTGCACCTTTTGATGCGATTAAAAGCTATTTGCGCAGAGGTTTAGTCCTCTACAAAAAACTGTTTTCTGTTTCAGCATAGTACAAGAACACAGTCCGTGGTGAGGAAACACAATATTCTCATTTGGAAACTTGAGAACTGAAGGAGCACCCTGCGAAACCCTATTATGTTGTCCCCACAAGACAATTTTTTAAGAAGACCAAAGTGTAGATTACACATTTTGAACGATAACTGAACACGCCTATATTAGCGAAGATGAATTTCGCTCAGTATCATGTTTCATTACGACACTTTGCCTAGTGTGACCCACTGCTTGTTGTAACAAACGGGAGGTAGTATTGCAAGGCAGATATAAGACGTAGTGAATGTGAAAAAATCCTCAGCAGCCATATACAGGTATTGATCGAACTCGTGCAACATGACTCTGAAAAGCGAAATATATCTGAGCTTCAAATATCATACCCATACATCAATAGCTACTGGTATTAAACATGTATTTCGAACTTCACTTTCCATTGTAGTTTTCTTAGCTCTCCCGTTTCGCGATTTGAATTGGCGCGACCTTGGTTGTCATGATAAAAATTGCAGTGGTTCGAAAGCTACTGTTTAAAATTAGAAACCATTTGGTGCAGAGAAGCACGGACGTCTGTTCTTTCAAACGAATGAATATTGTTCCATGAGGATGTTTATTCTGCTCCACTCGAGTACTTTATATAGCATATCTTTTTCTATACAATGCAAAGTAATTATACAGGCAAATTATGATATATCATCAATATTTATTCGAAAATATATGTGGCTACAAACTGCAACCGCAAAATCTCGCATCAAGAAGGAAGTAAAAAAATATTTCATGGAACGTGAAATTTAACCTTCGAGCAATAACCTTGAGGTGTGCAGCACGTCGAATATTCATTTTGTGTTGTCACCATGTCCAAACCGGATGATAAATCCAAGAGTTTCCGA